GGGACCGTGAAAATGATCCACTTTCGGAGCTCCAGCATCAAATCGCTCAGCCAGGAGATGAAATGCACCATCCGGCTGCTGGACGACTCGGAGATCTCCTGCCACATCCAGGTGCGGGGAGGCGCAGGGCGAGAGAAGCGGGGCGCGTGCCGGAGGCAGGTTGGGGGGCTCTGCGGGTGGGCGTGCGCCTTCAGGGATGAAGAACCCACCCCAGGGCCATGCTAGAAAGCCAGATCTCATTTCCTCCCCCTTCTGAGGCTGGAGCCCTACCCGGAGGTGGGGGCACTGTCCCTGGCAGGTGCCAGGCAGACATCTGCGCCCAAGTCCCTTCGGGCATGCAGACGCTTCGCCCAGGTCTGGCTGCGCCCAGGCTGGGGGCAGCGAAAGCTGCCTCCTGGAGGACTATAACCCCTCTGTCCCCCATCCCACCAGGAAATGGGAGTTCCGAGAACCAGGAGGGGCACCTCCACGTGGAGAAGGCATGCACCAGCCCGGGTTCACTCCTTCTTCTTTACGGCACCCGGGCACCGAAGGTGCCATCAGACCCAACCAGGCTGCCTGCCATCCCCCTGCCCCTGGCCTTGACTTATCCGCGGCGTGGAGGGGGTGCGGGGAAGGGAGGCGGAGGGTGCGAAGTTTCTCCGGAGGGAGAGAGGCTGGGCCGCCTTGAGGGATGGGGCGTGCGCCGCGTGGAACTAGAGCTATTGCAAAAGAAGTCGTGTGAAATCTGAGTGTTTCAGAGAAAGGAAAAGGGCTGTGAGGCCGGCAGAGTTGAACTGAGCCGAGTTCAGGGCTCAGGGACCCGAGCAGGACCTGCTCCCAGGGAAAAGCGCCCCTGGGAGCACTGGGGGACATTCGCTCGTGCCCAAGTTGGAGAAGGCAGCCCTGCTGGCAGCCGATCCGCGGGCAGCAAGTGCCTTAGGGTTTGCAAGAGAGCTCGTAGGAGCTGCAAGGGCGGGGTGGGCACCCGGCCGCCGTGTGTGGATGTGTAGGCGGGTGCGTGCCCTCTCCCACCATTCGCTCGGAGCACATAATTCGGAAAGGCTGTGTTAGGGCTCAGCACTTTCTGCTTCTGATTTTTAAATCTATTTACTCTGGCATTTCGTCTTCTCACCTGCCTCCCCCTCCCCCCCTTGAAGCTCAGGACTGAACTTTAGATACAGGGCACCCTGGCAGTTCTGGTGAGAGGTGAATGGGGGCAGCATCTCCCAGCAGCAGGAATCCCTTTCTGAGCTGTGTTAACCAGGAATGAATAAATGAACGAATGGAAGGTCTTTCCCAATTTTTTTTTTTTTTTTTCCTGGTGGGAGCTTGTGACACGCAGCCAGCAACTAATTTGTAAGCTAACAGCTGGACGATTTCAAGGCAGGAATGTGGTGCCCCGTGATCTCCCAGGAGAGTAGGCCCCCCCTGAATTTTCTGGAGAATCTTGAATTTCATTCTGAGCTAAACTAATAAAAAGATTAGCAGGATAGGCAGTTTTTCTGCTGCCACAGGGCTGCCCAGGAACATTTGGCATGTGCTGTCTTGTGATCCAGAGACAGTCATTTGTGCACTTTGTGTTATGTCCAAAGGGCATCTACGCATCTTTTTGTCCACAATGAATATGTAAATAATGGAGGGGCCAGCGGCAGGGAGTGGGGCTAGGAGTTCTCCTTTCTCTGTCAGCCCTGTTCTGTCCCACTTGAAGTTGATGCCCCTGTTTTTATTCTGGTTCTTGTCCAGAAAAATTTTCCTTAAAATAGATAAGTAGTCCTCAAAGGACATGTATTTGTTGTCTGGTGTTCTGGGGAACAAAACAGTTTGGAAAGTTAGACTTTGTATGGCCCAGCTGATGCCAAAGTAGTTAAAATGCTATGATCTAAAATGTTGATTTCGGCATTACTTAACACATTGTATGCGGGAAACGTATTTATATGTTTTTACGTTGACTGGTAGTAGAGCGCGCGATAAAAAGTACCCGCAAACAATGTGTTAAAAAAAAAATCAATTGTTTCACTTTGTGGCACAGCTTTTTCTGCCCCTTGTGCCCCCAAATGGTGATTATCATTTAACCAGTTAAAATGAATTAGAAGATGTTGTGTTGTTGAGTGTTATCTCAACCCTATAGGTTCAGAGAGAGTAAGATATTTGCGTCACATGACAAGTAAGTGGATTAGAACCCAGGTCATTTGACTCGAAATCCAGAGCTCCTCCTTCTCTGTAGCACTGCCTCTTGAAACTTGAGAGTTAGGATACTTTTGGCTGCAAGTAAGACAATAGCCAGGTGAAGTGGCTTAAATGACAAGGATGCGTATTATCTTACCTAAGGAGACGTCCAGAGGTAGGGCGGCTTCAGGGTTGTTCAGCGGCTCTGCGGGGATCCAGGTGCTTTCTGTCTTTCCATTCCGCCATCGTCTGTGCCAGCTCCGTCATTATAGTCGTCATGATGTGAGGTGGCTGTGGTAATTCTGGATGTCAGTCAGGCACTGCCACACCCAGCATATAAAAGGTGATATTTCCTCATGCATTATTATTTTTTTTAATCATGGAAGAACACCTTTTGTAGAGGCCCCATAAGTCTTCTCATCAGATCCCATTGGCCAGGATCGCATAATATACCCATGCCCTAGCTGCAAATAAGTCTAGGAAGGCTTGCTTCTGGTGTCTTCACTTTTCACTCTCTATAATGAGAGGTGGGCTTTGCCAATATGGGAGGAATGGAGGTGTGTGTGTATATGTGTGTGTGTGTGTGTGTGTGTGTCTGTGGTGGGGGGCAGGGAATGACTGTTGGCTAAGCAAGCAATAGCGTCTTTCAGAATAGGTCAAATTGAGTTACAATTATTGTTACAATAAAATTATCAGGAGAGTTTAATAAGGTGTCATCTAAACCTAGCCTATTTTAGGCAAATTTGATCATGTTTGTCTGATCAAATTTCAGAACAAGAAAAATTATTGGATAATCTTTTGTAGTTTGTGTTGTTAAATATGAGTTCAGTCCTTACTGAACTGGTGGGTTCTGGGCAGCTACAAGCCATCTTGCGTAGAGCAGGCGACTCCACTCTTGCTGAAGTGGCAGAATGGCAAAGTGGTTGAGAGCTTGTGTTCTGGAGTGCTACTTGCTTGAGTTGGAACCCTGGCTAGCCAGGTGACTTTGGGCAAGTCACTTTACCTCTTTGGGCCTTAGTTTCCTCATCTGTAAAGTGAGGATAATAATGGCACAGACCTCATGGATTTGTTGTAAGGACTCAATATAGAGTCTATGTCAAATGCTTGGCTTAGTACCTGGCCCATAGTAAGAGCTGAACAAATATTGACAGTTATCTTAATATTATGTGAAGGCATATTGGAGGTAATCCCAAGTAGTGGGAAGGCTTTGATTTAGAATCTAAGGTTTTTAAGCCCAAACTCTATCAGTTTCTGATTGTTCAAGACCTTAAGTAAGTCATTGGGCCTCCTGTTTTACACCTGTCAAATGGGCATCAAAATTCCTCAATTGCCATCTTTCCCTGGGTTGTTGAGATAAAGCATGGTATAACTGTTAAAACATCACTCAAATGTAGAGTACTACTCTAATCAACTTAGTTTTTTTTTTAAAAGGGAGTAGTGTAGTGCTCCCCAAATTTCTTATCTGTTGGAACAGAAATTGGGTGGTCACATGCAAACATACATATGTACTAAATATCAGGCCCCATGATAATCCTGCTAGTGAAATCCAAGCTAGATTTAGGTGACAGCCACACCTTTTCTGTTAGTAAGGACAACACTTTCTCTGTCAAACTCATCTAAATGCCATTTAGAGTTCACTGAAAATCAAGACACAAAAGGAATAGAAGTGGGAGACAGTTTGTTAGATAATGTGGCCCAGTGCTGACGTTTTTAGACTAGAATACATGGGTCAGCTCTTTGTATTAAGTATATTCTGAAAAATAAACTAATCTTATTTCAGTGGTCTGCTAAGATCTTATCTCTTGATGTCCTCAGAGCAAATGCAAAGTGTATTGACTGTGGGGAGAATGGAATACTGTTAGCTCCACATCATTTGGACACTATATCCGCTGGATGCTTTTAACTTCGTCTAGCAAATTCTAATTCAAGCTGGCATTAACACTAAGCATGTTTATGGGCTCATTTATCCAGAAGTCCTGAGTTAAGGACTGCATTCAAGGACTGTCCTGCCTTTTGTGATGGCACATTTCTCTCAGTAGATGTTCAATGAATGTTGGAGTGACTGGGTGAGTGCATCTAGGTGTGTCTATCTCGATAGACCAAAGTACTGATTAGACACTGATGCTGGGATGGAATGATTCCTTCTGACTCCTGCCTCAGCCAAATCAAGAGATTGTTTTTCAAACAGGATTTCCCCTGATGGCCAATCTGATGAAGTGTTGAATGTCTGTGAGAGCATATGGGGGCCTGGGGTTAGCACCTTCTTGTCTCTCTGGGCCATACTTCCCACTCTTGGTTTCCTGTCTCCTGGACTCTTGATGGCATTGCAGAAGAACTCCAGCAGCTTCTCATCACAAACAAATCACTGTGCCCTGGCCGGCGTGGCTCAGTTGGTTGGGTGTTGTCTCATGCACAGAAAGGCTGCCCGTTTGATTCCGGGTCCGGGCACATGCCTGGGTTACGGGCTCCATTCCTGGTGGGGGGTGTGCAGGAGGCAGCTGATCGCTGTCTCTCTCACATTGATGTTTCTCTCTCTCCCTCTCCTCTTCTCTCTCTCTCAAAATCAATAAAAAAAAATCTTAAAAAATTAATCATTGTATATATACTAACAGTGCCTGGATGCTCCCAGAGGCATAGGGGGCCCAGCTGTTCTCACTGGCAGAAGTGACCCTGAGGGATAGTGACCTGGAGGACAGTGAAAAGTGCACTTGAGGTGTCACGTAAGTTCTGGAGCTGTTTGCTTTGGTGATTTTTCCCTGAAGGTGCAGGAGGCAAATGAGGGGATCACCTTAGAAAAAAATAAAGCTCATTCTAACAGGGAAGAACATTTGTATAGATCTAGGAATTATGTTTTTCTCAAAAGTAAATTAGTAAGTTCTTTGAAATAACATTAATCTTATTTGATAAACAATTAAAAAATATCTTCTGTGTGCTGAGCCCAGAGCGGAGAATGGGAGATAAAA